TCAACTCCTATTACTAAGACATACTCTTTTTATTATTCCCTTAATTCTATCTTCAACATTATTGACATGCTCTATTCACATGTACATACACATAAAAATTAATGTATACTTTTATATTCCTCCCCTTTAATAGTCATAAAAAAGCTTTATAAATTTAAATATATATTTCTATGTATTTGCATATCTAACAACTACACTTCAGTTTCTTTCTAGATATGTCCCAATTTACTTATGCATGAAAAAGCTGTATTTCACATTTCTAAAGTAAGAATAGCGATATTTATGTAAGAAGTTTGGCTGGTATATCTATAATTGTAAAAGGAAAAGTTTTGGGTTAGAAATGTAAATATATAGGAATTTTGTGATATGTATGTAAATGCCCCTTAAATTTATTTTAGTCTATTTTTCAATACTTTATTAAGATTTCCAAGCAATGCATGGATGTAAATACATATAAATTTTCTACTTTGAGGAGGGGCCAAGACTCCAAAACATTGAACCAAAGGGTGGTAGACTTGACTATGATTCCTATCCCTTAGTAACTTATAATTAATGGGTCAAATTTAGTGTAGTTGACTTGGTCATACTGAACCCTTCAACTCCTATCTTTAAAACCTACTCTTTTCATTATTCCCTTAATTCTATCTTCAACATTACTGACACATCTTTCACCATGTACATACAAACTGAGACATCTTTCACCACGTACATACACTGAAATGCTACTCTAAATAAAGCGTGAAAATCAATTTAAGTGAACAGAAGCACACAAAACAAGAAAATACAGACATTGCGAGATTTAACATGAAAAACCCTTAGAACAGACAAAAATCATGAAACCACAACACAGTAAAAAATCCACCATGAATAAAAATGAGGAGAATTGTACAAATTACACCAGACTCAAGCCTTTCCACACTACATGACACTTTCGAACGCTCTTCTCTCCTTCGAGCAAGAGAAAACTCAAAATCTACATTCCCTCCCTTTGAGAAAGATGACAGAATTAGTAAGAACTTCCTAAAATTGCTTATGTGAATCGAGGTGGCATTGTGACACTCTCAGGCGCGCTATATCAGGAGTGTTGTGGTGTCGCGCTTTCTAGTTTTGAATATGAACTGAGCGCTACTAGTCTCGACACCGAAGCACTTAATCTGAGCCAAGGCCAAGACTCAAAACTATTGAATCAAAGGGCGAAAAATTTGACCAAGATTCCTAATTCCTATTAAATTATAAACAATGGTCAAGTCTAGCATAGGTTACAATGTTATTTTGAACTCTTCAACTCCTATCTCTAAGACCTACTCTTTTTATTATTCACTTAATCCTATCTTTAGCATTAATAACACATCTTTTAACATATACTTATGCATAAAACTAATGTACTATTTTATATTTCTTTCCTTTTAAAGTAAGAAACAAGCTTTTTTAAATTTAAACATATAATTTTCTAAGAGCTTGCTAGAAGGAAGAACAACTTAGACCTAGTCAAAAAATAACCATTATAAAGAAAAATTTTTTTAATAAAATAAGATATTAAACTTAGTCTATATAAATTTCATAGCTTTGTTGGAAACTAAAAGTTAGAAGAACACAAAGTAGAAGAAGCTGAAAATGATTTCAAAGAGTAGAAGCATGCACTTCTTCTTCTTCTTCGTCTTCTTCTTTTTTTTCGCTTCCATTCTGCTCATTTCTTTCGGCGCAACTGCAAGGCCTTTACACGAGACATCGTCGTCTGGTGAGAACTCTTTTATTTCTCTAGTGCTCATGGCATAATTTTGAACGAACCAACCAATGTATTTGATGAAAATGAAAAATATGGGTTGGAGTATTATCATGAACTTTGATGTTTAAGTGAGAATTTGTTAAATAGATGAAAGATTGTGCTAGATTTGTAAATAGCAATGTTCCAGTTGGTATGTATGTAAACCATTTACGTGTAGATGGGTGTACTCTAGATGTACTCAGAGTGTGCTCGGGGTGCATACGAATGACCGCACATAATATTTTTCTAATTATTTGCATGTCATACAAGTCTTATTTATTTACATGTCACACCAAAACAATTTCATAGCTTTGTTGGAAACTAAAAGTTAGAAGAACACAAAGTAGAAGAAGCTGAAAATGATTTCAAAGAGTAGAAGCATGCACTTCTTCTTCTTCTTCGTCTTCTTCTTTTTTTTCGCTTCCATTCTGCTCATTTCTTTCGGCGCAACTGCAAGGCCTTTACACGAGACATCGTCGTCTGGTGAGAACTCTTTTATTTCTCTAGTGCTCATGGCATAATTTTGAACGAACCAACCAATGTATTTGATGAAAATGAAAAATATGGGTTGGAGTATTATCATGAACTTTGATGTTTAAGTGAGAATTTGTTAAATAGATGAAAGATTGTGCTAGATTTGTAAATAGCAATGTTCCAGTTGGTATGTATGTAAACCATTTACGTGTAGATGGGTGTACTCTAGATGTACTCAGAGTGTACTCGGGGTGTACATCCCTACTCTGCACATACGAATGACCGCACATAATATTTTCCTAATTATTTGCATGTCATACAATTCTTATTTATTTACATGTCACACCAAAACTTTTTTTATTTACAGGCATGACCCTCAAAATGTGCTTGCAGGTTTTATGGTGAAGCGAGGCCCTCTGAAGTCAAATATTTTGCCAGATTCTCCCGTTGATAACAGACATATAGGGCCAATTCACTAAAATCACATAGGTAATGCAGCTTTTTTACATACAGACCCCTCAATTATTATGCATTTACATCTTAAACACCCAAACTTCAAATTTTACATCAATACCACCTTAAATATGCAAAGTATATTTCACTTTTTAAAGGCTAAAATGATGGTATTTTTAAATATAAAAAGGAAAAGTTCAGATGTTAGATTTGTCAATACATAGGAATTAAGTGGTATATATGTAATTAAAAGCCCCAAAAATATAACTTTCTAAAGTATAATATGAAATTATTTGTTCATAATTCTGGCCCAAATTTATATCAGCCACTTAAAACTGCCAGAATTACATCTAATAAAACTGTTGTATATGTAAATACAAAGAAATTGAGTGGCACGTATGCAAATAATTTTTTTCTTTTATTTTTTTAATGTTGGCAAAATTAAAAAAAATAGAAATAAAGTTTAAAATGCATCATTAATTAACTGTTTGTATCTCTTAATCAAATTGCAGGTAATATGATCCGAGTATGGCTGCTTGAGAAGTCATGTTCTTTACTATGAGGACTTGGCTGTTTCTTTGAGATGCATCTAATTAATTGAGTGTTTAGTTAAGAAACATTTGTGTATTATAAAGCCTTTGGGAATTGCCAATGTATTTTCATTTGTATTTTTTTCTTAATTTTGAAATAAAAAGTAATTGGATTCTTGAGAAATATACCAACATTCTTTGATAAGCATATTATATACATATATATTAAAAAAATGGAAATTTGCATATGTACCAAACAATTCTTATGGATTACATATGTAACATTTTTGTGATGATAGCTACAACATTGTTGATGATGGTTGTAGCACAATCCTGATTGAAGGCATGTGGTTACGGCTTATTTTTACTAGCAATGATTATGTCATAGGACTTATTGAAAGTTATTTTTCAGACGAAAAGTATGAGATGTGAAGATATGATGTAGGCCTCATGAGAGACAGTCGTGTCACAACAAGCATCATTGTTGTGTTGTATGCCTAGAAGAAGATACACACACGCCTAAACGCACATATACCACATATACAAGGTCTTGAACTGAAAATGTCTTCATTGAAAGATAAAGCTCTCAACCACAAGGCCAATATGACTTTCATGTCTAGAAGAAGATAGTTATTAGGTAAGAAATGTTACAACGCACATTATGGTTATGAGAGATTTATGACAGGAACAATGTTATAAACTATAGTTTAAAGAAGACGACAAAAACTAACATTGGGTTGGTAATGCAAGTCTAGATGTGAGCATGAGCACAACCCAAGTATTGCTATTGTGTAGGCCAATATGACTTTCATGTCTAGAAGAAGATAGTTATTAGGTAAGAAATGTTACAACGCACATTATGGTTATGAGAGATTTATGACACGAACAATGCTATAAACTATAGTTTAAAGAAGACGACAACGACTAAGATTGGATTGGTGATACAAGTCTAGATGTGACCATGAGCACAACCCAACTATTGCTATCGTGTAGATACTAAAGAGAAACAAACATAGTCTAAATCATGGTTATTGTAGCGAAAGTAAATTTGTACCATATAGCTTGAAGGGGACAATTGCATCACATGTGATATTTTAGTTTTAAGTTTGGATGTGTTGATGATTATGATACAAGTGAGATTAATCAATAATTTCTTTTTAAAAATACGGCTTCCTATAGGATTTTCTTAATGATCTTAGCACCTTCCTGCATGACATGTAGTACACCTTGATAATGACTATAGCATTTATCTAAACATTTAGGTTCTTCCAAGAATATAAGCTTCTAAACCTCAATGATGGAAATTATTACATGCATCAGTTACACGTCCGAATAACGGTTCTGATGGGTCGCCCCGGGATACCACCTCCGAACCTTCATTTGAACGTGTTGTCAGCCGCACGTAATAATTTTCCCTTGATGATAGTCTAAATCATATTTTAAAGATATGAACCTCTTTGGCCTTCAAATCTCACATTGATGATACAGATATTTTCTGTAAAAACATTTGGCGCCATAATTGGATGCTTTTTACAATATATATATATATATATATATATATATCATTAGGTTTTCTAATTTCATAATTAAGAATAAAACAACATAAATAATGAAGAAATTTGAAATAGAGCATATTATTTACATGCATAATCCTATGACCAAAATAAATAAAATTGCTCTTCAAGGAAATAAAATTCTAAAAACACTTACTAATGACAATATATCAAAATATAAGAGTTAATAATAAGGAAAATCTCACGGGCTACAAGGAATATATAATTACAATAATCTGCATGTTTTCCATTTTCCAGAAAAGACCATCACAATTTCAATATTTTCATTTTTTTTCATCTATTAAACTACATGCACTATTGGTATAAAAAGGATGAACCAAAGCTAGTTTTTACTTATTACCGGCTTTGGAGTAGGTATCACGAAGAGTAACGACCCTATTAAACACAAGCTTCTCTGTCGTTGAGTCTGTATCCACAGCAAAATAGCCTGAAACAAAATATTGATAATAATAAGAGGGAATTCTATACATACTACAATGCTTATATATTTACATATCTAACAGCTAAATTTTCATATTTACATATACACCGCTCAAATCTTTGACATCAGATCAAAAATTACCACCATCACAAACATTTAAAAAGTAAAATTGCACATTTTCATGCAGAAGTTTTAGATAGCAAAACATTATAAATGTAAATATCAGATTTGAAGAGTTAAATATGTAATAATTTCCGTATAATAAATGAATTTGTGAAAAAAAGTGAACATTAATTCTATACATTATAAGGGTAAAAAGGTTGCTTGATTTGTAAATAGTATTATTATTATTTAGAAGAATTTTTATTTTCCTTTATAGTATTTTGCTCTACATCATCTCTCTTAACCACAAAATGGTCTATTTTTATGCCCACCTTATAATTTCTATGTCAATCCTCTTACTACAACTAGCCAATGAAATATATCTAGTTCTTTCAATTTTAAAATTTCCAATGTTGCTCTCTTAAAATTCAATATTTGAAAATAATCAATTCCTCACATTTTAAGTTTGATCCATCTATTTTAACATTTTATAACTCAAACTTTGAAAGCAACTAAATGTTCCTTTTTTTTCTGTGTATGGTTTGCTTACAATTCAAAATATTCATGGTGGCTACGGTTTTAGAGTGATTAATGAAGAAGCTACAGCTATATTAGGTTTTGCTTTAACGTGTGATTTTGTTATTGCTAATAATTTATTCAAAAAAAATATGAGCATATTATTACTTATAAGAATGTATCAAATAAAATACAAATTGATTATTTTCTTATGAGAAGAAGAGATTGTCAAGAATGAAAGTTATATGGGCATTCCAAGTGACAATTTAGATCCTCAACATGAATTATTAGTTCTAGATTTTAAGATGAAGAATGTAAAACAAAAAAAAAAATACCATGAACCATTGTCATATAATTAGATTGAGACACTGAGAAAAATATATGTGAGATTAAGTAACAAAGATTATTAAACAAGTTATAATCTAACATGGGTGGGTGAGTTGTTTTGATAAACTTCTCAATAAAGTTTCTGAAAATATGATTGATTTTAGTAATTTTAATATTGTTAATAATAATAATAAATATTTCATTTTTACCGTTGCATTAGTAAAAATAAAATTGAGGAAGCTTTAAAGAAAATCAATGGTGGAAAGTCTATAGGACCGGATGATATTCCAATAGAAGTGTGGAAATATTTCAGAGATTTGAGAGTTTCTTGGCTTAATAAACTATATAACATTATTTTAAAAGCTAAAAAGATGTCTAAGGAGTGGAGGAAGAGTATTTTGGTCCCTATTTTTAAGAATAAAGGGGATGCACAAAAGTGTGCAAATTATAAAAAAATTAAGCTGATATGTCATACTTTAAAATTATAGGAAAGAGTAATTGAACATAGGTTAAGATGTATTATAAAGATTTCTCATACTCAGTTTGGATTTATGTCGGACTGGTCTACCATGAAAGCTACACATTTATTGAGAGGTTTGATGGAGAGGTACAGAGAGAATAAGGAGAATGTACATATCATTTTTATTGATTTAGAAAAAGCTTACGATAATGTTCAAAGAGATATCCTTTGGAGAGTTCTAGAGAAGAAAAGTGTTGAAATGACTTATATTCAAGTCATTAAAGTAATGTAAATAGAGTTGTTACTTGTGTTCGAATAGAAGGAGGATTGACAAAATATTTTCCCATTTAAGTTGGATTACATTAGGGATCGACTTTAAGCCCGTATCTTTTTGCTTCAGTATGGATGCTTTTACTGTACATTTACAGGAGGATATTACTTGGTGTATGCTTTTCGTTGTTGATATCCTTCAAGTGGATAAGACTAGAGAAAGAGCTAAGAAAAACTTAAATTATGGATTTCTATGATGGAGTCTAAAGGCCTTCATTTGAGTATAACTAAAACTGAATACATGGAATGTAATTTTAGTAGTAGTAGCTCTAGTGACGGAGTTGTAATTATGGGTGATCAAATTATTAAAAGATGTGAACGCTTTAGATATCTCGGGTCTATTGTTCAAAGTGATAGTGACATGAAGGGGATTTTATTAATAGAATTCAAGTTGGTTGGTTCAAGTGGAGAAATGCTTTGGGCCTCTTGTGTGATAGAAAAACACACCGCTTAGACTGAAAGGAAAAATCTATAAGATAGTGATGAGACTTGTAATGTTCTATGGCACAAAATGTTGGCCTTTAAAAGAGAAGCATAAAATTAAGTTAAGTGTTGCTGAGATGAGATTGCTTAGGTAAATGAGTGGCTTCAAATGAGAATGCTTAGAGACAAAATGCAAAATAAATATATAAGATAGTATTGGTATCGCTCTTGTGGCGGAAAAAATTAGAGTTGGTCACATTAAACATCAACCATCTGATGATCCGGTTAGGAGAGTAGATGTTTAAGATTCGACTTATGTTAAGAAAGAAACAAATAGATCAAGAAAGAATTGGGCATATTGTATAAAAAATGATCTTAATTTATTAGAATTAAGTGAAAATAAGGCATTCAATAGGATGCAATGGAGAAAAAAAATTCATGTAGTCGACCCAACTTAGTGGGATAAAGGCTTGTTGTTGTTGTTGTTGTATGCTTTCCTCACACTAATTATCTTTCTCTTGTTATTTCATATTGACAATAAATCCTCTCAAATCACATCAAACAAAAGAGTTGATCGCATTTATATTCAATAACATAATAACATTTAACCTTTCTTCTTTCAGTATGCACTATTAAAGTTCATCCATTTCTTTCTAAAACTAGTTTTTCAAACTCCTTCCTACTCTATTATTAGAATGAGTACTAAAAACAAGTATAATCTCTCCACCAATATTAACATAGCAATTATTGGATCATCATAATTATTCATTTTAACATTTTATCTATCAATTTTATTTACATGGGATCTTAAAGTTTATAAACAAGTTAAATTAATTCCCAAACTCTTCTAAAAGACTGACCAAATTCTCCTCTGGGAATAAAGTGATCCTCTGCAAAGAATTAAGGGACCATTTTGACACCACTCTTACCAACTAATTCAAATCATTAGCCTTCACTATGCAATAGAATACAAGTTTTCCTCTTTGTTTTCTCTTTTTTCATTTATTTTCTTGAAAATTTACAATGTGTGCGCTTCATATATTTGTTATATCCATTAATCTTTATCTTTACATTTAAAATTCTCAAGTTTTAAGTACTAAAGCTAATAATTGACGTTGACTCATTAAATAATCATTCATATTACCATCACAATATGAATTAAGTTGTGATGCATCACTAGCGAATAATTGTCCTTACCCAACTCATCACAAAAATCAACTTTAAGTGCGACGTAAGTCACCCACAAATTATATTTTAGATAACCTTTGCACACTTCTCATCATATTCATTATATTATGAAACAAACTAAAAAAAAATATAAAAGTATAATACAATTCATCTTAGAATTATAAATATTAAATGTCAAGCAAGTATAAACCCCCTCAACCACCCTCACATGATCTTTAGCCAAGGACAATAGCATGAACCAAAGAACTTATTTCTAATGATCGGACATGTTAAACGTCGAAAGTCTGATGATCTGATTGGAAGAGTAGATGTTTTAGATTCGATTTATGTTAAAAAAGATAGAGTTAAGGGTCGGTTTGGGGCAGCTGCAACTTATTAAATAATCTGCTGATAAGTTGATTAAAAATAATCTGTTGATAAGCTAGGTGTGGTGGCTATTACAAATTTTTTATTTTTAGAAAAGTCATATCGCAGTCAGAGAAAGTTGTCATCGCACTGTCACCGCACCTAGATAGGTGTGGTGTGAAAATGTTATTTTCGGTGTTTTCAAAACGCATAAGCTGTCAAAACGCAGTTTACCCAAACAGAACAGGTGCGTTTTTAAAACACCACCACACCAAATAAGCTTCCCCAAAAGGGCCCTTAGACCCAAAAAGATATGGGCATGTTGTATAGAAAATGACACTCAATAGAACACAATGGAGCAAAAAGATTCAAGTAGCCGACCCCACTTAGTGAAATAAAAACTTGTTATTGTTGTAATGATCGGACACGTTGAGAAATCATTAGTGCTTCAAATCTCTTAATTAATTTTTTTAAAGAAAATGTTGTTTTCAAAGTTTTATCTTTTCTCTATAAGATGCTCAATATCAAAGGAGTAATTTTTATAAAATATTTATAGAGGTTAGGGATTACCAAGCCGCTCAAACTGAAATTTGTCTCCCACTACAGCACTAGCAAGAGAGGGCACAGCATATGCTTCTGATATCACCTCCTTGGAAGCTGGATTCAAATCATCAAGCCAGTTTTCCAATTCAGCTGGATTCTGAAAAATAAATAAATAAATAATTAATTAATTAAAATATATATAAATAAAATTTTGAAAAAAACATCTGCTGGATTTTGATAAGCAAAAATGAATTAAAACAAGCAACAGCATTGAATATGGATATTAGAATTTTGGAAATTTTACATACATACCACACATTTCTTATGTATTTACATATCTAACACTCAAAGTTTGATAGATACATTTAGGAAAATTTACATACTTACCACACAATTCTTATGTATTTACATATCTAACACCCAAAGCTTAAAATTTACATTTATAACACCTTGATGTTATAAACCTATGCATGAAAATGTGTATTTCACTTTTAAAAAGATAGTGATGGTGGTATTTTTTATGTGATGTTAAATATTTAAGTGGTATGCATGTAACTATGAATGTTTAAGTGTTAGATCGGTATGCATGTAAGTGTAAATAAAAAGTACTGTGGAATGTATGTAAATGTTCCTTACATTTATAACATGTTGGTATCATAAACTTATGTATGAAAAGGTGTATTTCACTTTTAAAAGGTAGAGATGGTAATTTTCATGTAATGTTCAAAATTTGAGTGATACAAGTAAATATGCAAGTTTAGGTGTTAGATATGTAAATACATAAGAATTGTGTGGTATAAATGTAAATTCCCCAAGAATTTTATAATAAAAACAATAGAATACTCACCTCAGAAAGGAATAACTTATCAAATATCCTTACTTCCACTTTGAGTGGTTCAACTCCCGGATTAGGCTGAGCTACCCAATGAAGAACACCCTGAAAAAAATTAATAGGTGAAAATACTGAATTTTTATCTAAAAATCATCCTCTTCCTAAAAAAACTAAAAAAAAATCAGTAAAATCTGAACCTTTGGTTTATTTTTCTTAAGTGGATCATACTCAGCTCTGATCTCCACAATAGATTCAGAATCTTTACCATATATTACTTCTGTGCATTTTATGGGGAAAGCATATCTGCTCATTTTCAAGGAAAATAATCATGGTTAAGATTAAGATTTCTATCACTTTTATCAGGATAGTGCATAAAAATTTCATATAACTTGCCTTAACAAAACAGTTTTTCCAGGAGCGAACCCATAGTAATCTTTTGAGTCCTTGAGACGAAAATCCGTTCTTTCGATGTAAACTACGTTAGTGAAAGGAACCTATGGAGATTTAAATAAATTAGTATAAACATCAAATCATGCAATTCATTGGTGCTTGCTTTCTTGAGGCAATTAAAGTTAAATATGGAGGGAAACAAAAAAGACTACAACCTTACTGAATTATAAAACTAATACAAGCATAAATGCGTCCATATGGCTATGCATAATCGGGAAAATAGAAAAGCAAGAAAAATATATAAATAAAAAATAACCAAAACAGTGAGAAAAAATTAAATAATGAATAATATAGATTTTTAGAATTAATAATTCAGCCTACGTGATTTAGATATGCTGATTTTGAAAATATGACACTTAATAGGATGCAATGGAGAAAAGGGATTTATGTAACTGACCCCACTAAGTGGGATAAAGGCTTGTAGTTGTTGTTGTTGTTGATTTAGATACAAGTAGTGTTCGGGTCTGACCCGAAATCGACCCATTCTGAAACTTGAATGCTATATTAATGTAAGACATCCTAAAGTTTCACTAATGTAAACTAATATAAGATAAAATATAAAAACACTAAAAAAAAAGGCAGTTCATAGGGCACAAACACTAAACTTTAGTTAAAAATAGAGACTTTTTAAAAACAACAAACACATTCATTACACTCAAAACAATAATAATCAAATGTCTCCAAAATATGAATTTACTTTAAAAAAAAAGAAAAACTAAAAGCCAAACATAACATTCTACAAGAATCAAGTTTCACACCACAAAAGTGAAATTGTGCGTGTATCACACCGGATAATACATCAACCATTCACAAACATCAATCACTAAACTATATACATTATTCTTTTTTTCTCCCTAGATATATATAAAAGTCGCTCAATCATAGATCCCAAATATGAATCCAATGGCACACAAGAAATGAGAGAATTTGAAATTTTATTAAACAATTGAATGAACATTACTTGCCGACCCCACGTAGTGGGATTAAGGCTTTGTTGTTGTTGTTGTTGTAATTGAATGAACATTACATATATATATATATAACAAAAAACCCATAATAAAAATTAATCATAATCCATCCCATGAATAGAAAGGTGGAGGAAGAAATAGGGCATATGTATTAAGCTAAGGAAACAGGATTGGACTATTAAGAGAACAAGTTAGAAGATAGAGAGCTTTGGAAAGTACTACATCGGTGCTGAATTTTCATTGTGATATAAGCATATATGTGCGCCTACATATAGAAAAAGGAAGAGAACAATAAAATAATAATAACATTAAAAAAAGAATATCCTCAATAATTAAGTAAAATAATAAAAGTAGAAGATACCTACTACTATGAATAATTTTGGCATGTGATAAATTAGATATAATGTTACAACAATCAAAGGAAAAAACAAGAATCATTTGTGATTCAAATGAATGTTCAAAACCGAATCAAGCAACAAAATAGAAACAACTGTCCCAAATTTAGAACACTTTCCAAGGATGCAAATTTTAGTACACCAATGCTTGACCAAATCCCAAGAAAGTAATATAATGTCGAAGTGTAAAAGAAAGGATTGTCTAAAAGATCACAATACAAAATGAAACTGAAAATTAAAAAGATTCACAATTGCCTTGGTTGCCGCAAATATGTGAGAAATGTGAAAACAAACTAAGGGGCTATTCGAGGTCACTATTTTCTTTTTAACTTTTTTTATCATTTGTTTATTTAGTTTATGTTTTTAGTTGAAATAAAACATATTTTGTATTTAGTTTATGTTTTTAGTTGAAATAAAACATATTTTGCATGTTACAGGAAGTTCAGTTATTTTAAAGAAACTCAAAACAGCTTTAAAATGTTTTGAGTATTTTTAAAAACAAGTTAATTCGTTTAAAAAAAAATAAAAACAAGCAAAAAAATGCACAAAAAAATATTTTTAAAATAAAAGCAAACACAAAACAAAAAACAAAAAATAAAAATGATCTGAGAATGTGTATCAGCAATAGTTTAAATATGTAATTTTTGCACTATTGGAAACATTGCTAGAGGACCCAGGCAAAGCAGTAATAACCCTGAAAAAATTTTGAAGAAAAAGGAATGATGATAGCATATTTTACAGATCGACATAAAAATGACACTCTGAATAGCATGGAAAATTAGAAAAGTAAGCCAGAGTATATCAAACGTATTTTTATGAAATTAATCGACATCTCGATTAATCAATGATTCCATGGAAGGTAAACATTGGGATGTGCTATGCATTAAAATTCATATAAAAATTGGAAACAAGTAAGAAACAAATTCAATATGATTTAAAACAAAAATATATTCTATTAAATATTCAAGCATTAGAAGTTCATTCAGGGCTAGCCTAAATAAGCAGGTACCTTGTAGAAGGAGGATGCATCATCTGAAGCAGCATCAGGCCACATCTTTGCATCAAGGCTCATTTGTGATTCAGAATCAAGATTTGTGATAACAATCTGAAGAGAAGGTCAAATAAGCTGAATAAAAAGTAATAATTTTCCCAAAAAAACAGAAAGAACAAAGGGGCATTTGCATACATACCACCCAGTTATTATGTATTTATAAATCAAACACCTGAGCTTTAATTTTTACAATTATACCACCTAAATCTCTCATATCACATCAAAAATACCAGTACTTTTAACTTCTAAAAAGTGAAATGCATCTTTTCATGCATAGGGAAGGTGCATGTATGTAAAGATTAAAAATTAGATATTATATATGTAAATACATAAGAATTGAGTGGTATGAGTGTAAATATTCCAAAATAAAACCCAATACCTTAAGAGGATTCAAGACTACCATTGCTCGTGGTGCAGTTCTGTTAAGCTCTTCTCTAATGTGATATTCGAGACGATCATGACGTATCATGCTATTGTCACTGTACAACAAGATTTAGCAACAATGTCAAAAAAAACCCTTGCAAAATAGATGTAAAAGAGTTAACCCTACAGCATACCCGATTGGCCTGCCATCTTCATCACTTTGTATTTGTCAATAGGGAAACTTACATATGCAGCACGCAATTCTTAGTTATTTATACATCTCCACCTAAACTTTCATATTTACATAGAACTTTCATGCTTTAAACCTATGCATGGAAAGGTGTATTTCATTTTTAAAAATGATGATAGTGCTATTTTTTATGTGATATTAAAGATTGAGTGATGTGTGTCTAAATATGAAAGTTAAGGTGTGAGATATGTAAATACATAAGAACTGTAAACTATGTATGTAAATGTACCTTGTTTCTATGGTAAGAAATTGTACTTTCAAGTTTAAGAAATCAGTATCCAAAAATGTAAGAATTGAAATTCCGATTGAACTGCTATGACTTATTGAGCAAAAATAGAATTAGATTACATACATAGCAAAGCTAGAAGATCTTTCAAAGCATGGTATAAAATTATTGAATATGAAATTTTCCGATTGATCATACCAAGGAATAGAACGTATTGACTGAGGGTGAAAAAGATAAAAAGAGAGATGGAGAGAGAACAACAAGACTAGCCCGGTAGTGGTGAAAAGGGGGTGTTTCCGGGCTCCGCAACCCATTTTACACCATTAAATACTTCGGGTTACAAGAGAGGGAGAGAAGGAAGCCTGAAGACTTGAAGGCCTAGAGAGGGGTTTTTATGCAGATACTGCATCACTATTATAAAGGATAGGAGGATCGTACATAGAAATTAAATTCTTACCCTTACTTGAGAGGGGGTTGCATAGGGAATTTTAGTCTTTTGGTACGTTCGAGCTTGTCGCTTGATAGCCCTTCGATTGTTTGGTAGCCCTCACATCGGTTGTTTGGAGAAGGTGGTCGGTCATTGGAGGATGATGGTCGACTGGTCGGTCGGTCGGTCATTGGACGATGTTGGTCGACTAGTCGATCGGTCGGCTACGAGAGGATGGTGGTTTGTCGGCCACTAGAGAATGAAGGTTGGTCGGTAGGCTGGCCATTGGAAGTTGGTGGTCGATCGGTCGGCCATTGGAGGTTGGTGGTCGGTTGGCCGACCACTTTAGGTTGGCGCTTGGTCGGCTGGCCATTTTAGGTTGGCGCTTGGTGGCCGATTGGTCGACCATAGGAGGAGGTGATCGGTCGGTCAACTATCGCTTCTGAGTTTTTATGTCGATGATCCTTCCTTTGTCATATTCCTCCCCTAATCGTCGAACAACTTCAAAATCAGCAGAGCACTTTTTTGTTATACATATTAAGTTTCCCAATTCTCTTTCGTTTTTGGAGACAATAACTGCAATAAAAATATGAGAATTTTTAAGGGAAAAAAATGTGATTACATGAACCAAAGATGATACTTTGATACTTCTTGTTTGTGCGTCTCAGCGCTCTTTCCGGCGTCTTATGTATTGTCTTCTTGGCTCTAAACTTTTTTTCCCTTCGAATAGACACTTTGGTCGGCCTTGTTGATTGGTTGGTCCGGTCTGACTGTCGCTTTATCTGTCACTTAGACGACAATTTTGTTTTATTTGTTTTTCGGATACTTTTCCAAGCATATTTTTCTTCTTAATCGGTTGTGGTTTTTTTCTGTCGGTGTTGCCGAATAACTTCGATTAAACATTTGAATGTTGTCCTATGACTTTTAAAAAAATTCAAGGGATTGTATCGATCAGATGACTTCTGTCATTATCGATTTTGTGAAAATATTGCCATGCTCAAGTATTACACTTCCTATATTTCGTTAGCTCAGCTAAGTCGTCACCTTCGAACTTGCCGCACTTTTCACTAAAGTCTTAGGCGGATCTTGTCGTTGCCTTCGCCGAGGTAATCGTTGAGACTCACGCCTTATTGCGCTACCCTTCGCAAAGTTTTGTTGTTGATGAGTAGGGATGAACCGCCAGTGCTCAACCTGCCTTGCATTTAGAAGTGATGGGCCATTTTTATAATGCTTGGGTGTTGTGGGTCGGCTTTTATGCCAATCAGACAGCTTGTTACATTGTCAGATTTTCATTTTTAGAATTTTAATTAAGATTTTTTTTGTATAATTATGATCAATCGAACTTACCAGTCGTTGTCGGTTTTTATCACTTGAATCAACTCTTGTTCATAGGAGTTCCCAGAGTCTCATCGGATCCAAGTGATTTCTTCACATGAAAATCCCAAGTTTTTCGAGTGTTCAACGGGCTCAAGTGAACTATTTCTGGACTCGTTAGCGTCCCTGAGTATTACTGGCTGAAACTTGATGGCTCTCGGCTTGCCCATTTTGCGATCCATCGGACATGGGAGATCTTTGTGTTCCTTCAGAGTGTCATTCACCATGTCCCCTTAGGTTTGTTGTTGTGTGAATCCATCATGCATGAAATGTTTTTGTTTAGGCGTTTTTTCCCCTTGGTGTGCTCCTCTTCTTGTTGATGGCATGATCCACGCTCAACGCACCTTTCAGAATGTTGAATCTGAAATTGTCTGGTAGATCACACCCAAGGAAAAGAGCATCTAGACCGAGGGAGAAAAAGAAAGAGAGATGGACAGTGAACAACAAGACTTGCCTTATAGGGGTGAAAATGGGTGTTCTCGGGCTCTGCAACCCATTTTATATCATTAAATACGTTAGGTTACAAGAGGGGGAGAAGGGAGCCTGAAGACGTAGAGGTCCAAAAAACCTAAACCATAAATGAAAATGAAGTAGTTAATGGCGGGGGGGATGATTTTTTTTTTTTTGTGTTTTTTTTTTCCGTTAAATCTCTTCAAGGCCGACGGAGCACTTTTTTGCAATACAATATACGCACCACATACTTCTTATAAATTATGAGGCACCACATACTTCAAGGCCGACGGAGCACTATTTACAAGCGCAACATAATCTTCAACATCACATAAAAAAATACCACAAACACTGATTTTTTGAAGTGAAATATATTTTTCTCATGTATAGGTTTATGACACCAAAATATTATAAGTTTAAATATCAAACTGTAGGCATAAGATATGTAAATGCATAAGAATTATGGGATCATATGTAAATTTCCCTTATACAAATTATGTAAGGTTTACATCTTGTTTTAATGCCACAAAACTGAGGGTGATATCCAGTAAATATTATTTCTCAAAAAACAAAAAACTGAAAATATGTAATAATAATTAAAATGTGTGATTTGTTCACCAAAAATTAATAATAAATTAAACAAAATGTTATTAATATCATCAAATTATGGGCATTCCAAAAGCCTATGAATAAACAAAACTATGTCGTAATCAAAAAGTAGATAAAATCGAAACGAAAAAATTGAAATAACCTTCTTGTAATTCCAATTCCACGAATAAAGGAATTTATAGCAGTCGAAGAAACTCCTCGCCGTCGCAACCCGGCTAGAGTCATTAGACGAGGATCGTCCCATCCATCGACCCACTTTTCCGTGACCAAACGATTCAACTGAGATTTGATTAACCGAGCAATAAGCATTCGAAGAAGCCTTCCAAACAAAATCAATAAAAAAAAAATCAAAATTTATCGTGTAAATACCTTACGCTTAGACATCACTGTATTCGAAATGTTTAACCGCGAATATTCCCAGACATGTGGTTGGTAGATATCCAATGCCATAAGTAACCAATAATACGAAGGACGACGAATCTCAAATTCAAGCGTGCAGAGCTTCATAGAACAAGCAGAAACTGTTAGACTGGAAGAAGATAGGAGCATTTACATATGTAACAACAAATTCATATGTATTTACAGATCTAACACCTAAGTTTTGCTTTTTACATTTATACCGCCCAAAGATTTTATATCATGTCAATAATACCACCATTTTAACTTTCAAAAAGTGAAATACACATTTTCATACATGGGTAAGGTGGTATGTAAGTAAAAAATTGAATTTTAGGTGTTAAATATGTAAATACATAAGAACTAAGTGGTATATATGTAAATCGTCCAAGGGCCATTTACATACATAAAACCCGATTCATACGTGTTTACATATCTAACACAAAAAATTTACTTTTCGTATTTATACCACCCAAATGTTTCATATCAAACAAAAAATAATACCATGTTAACTTTTAAAAAGTGAAATACACCTATTCATGCATAGGTTAGGTGGCACGTATGTAAAAATTGATGTTCAGCTGGTACATATGTAAATATGTAAATCTTCCTATAATGTACGCATTCAGGCACAGAATGCTGCGCATTAGAACAGACTATGCAAGAACACTTACAGAATGTGTAATGTTCTCAAGAGAGTCCACTATGCAGTGAGTATAATCATAACTAGGATAGATACACCACTTGTCACCAGCATGTGGATGAGGAATGAACTGAATTTCATCACAAAAAAATAAAATATTAACAAAAATGGGATAGAAAAATTAGCTAGTTAAACTTTGGGTAGAAAAATTACCTTTATTCGGTATGCTATTAGATCATACATATTCTTATTTTCACTCTGCATGTCTTGTTTCATTCGAAGAGTTGCCTTTCCCTCCTCGATCAAACCCCTTCTCATGTCATCAAAAAGTTTTAATGATTCGGAAATAGGCCGATCCCTCCAAGGACTGTTTAATTTCTTCTCCCTAAACTCCTTAACCTCTTCCGGGGTCTGAACAACAGAAGAAAACATGCCAAGAAAAGTGTCAAAATAATATCGCGACTCTTTGCAAGGTGTCGTTTTAGTCCCGAAGTTTATAAAAGCACTAACTCATCCTCATACTCATTTAATATAGGCTGACATAGTCCTCATAAAGTTTTATTTTAGCCCCAGTTTAAAGAGTTTGAAGACTAAATTGACAGTTTTATATACTTTGGCACTAAAATTGCCTCATAGAAACAAGCAAGGGACTGTTTTGACATTTTGCGCTCATAATACGCCTATCCTTCATTGAGGGGTTTCTTATGCATTCATTATTGATCAGATTGAACCATAATTACACAAACCTGGTGATCAACATATGCTAGACCTTTCTTTATGAGCACAACGGCAAGATCATATAGTTCTTGAAAGTAATCACTGGAATATGTGACCTGATAAAATGCGAAAAAGTGAGTTCTCCCCGAACCAGAATCAATAATGGTTTCAAACAATATCAAGCAGTAAACCTTGAATGGCTGCCAGCCCATCCACTGAACTATTTCCTGGATATGGTCAATATATTCCTTCTTTTCAGCTTCAGGATTGGTATCATCAAACCTGCAACAAAAAAATTATTATGAAATAATAACAAGCGGTACTTAGTCAGCAACAATAAGATTTTTCCTTAATAACAGAAAAGATAAGTGTCAAAATAGTCCTCTGACTCTTTGCAGTAGATCATTTTAGCCCCAAAGTATCTGGAAGTGGTAATTTAATCTCCGGACTCTTTTAATATGGCTCCAATTTAAAAAGGTTTGAGGACTAATTTTACATTTTTATAGAATATGGGACTAAAATGGCCCCATGTAAAGAGTTGGGACAATTTTGCATTACTCCAAAAAAATTGGCTAGCATAGTTAAAATAAACAAAAGGACTGCAGCTAAAACTTGTATTATGATTTTTAGTTTGCATAAATTGTTCTACTCGTTGAATTAACACGACTGAATCAACAAATTAAAATCATTTCAACAGAACTGGATTCTAAAGCTATTATATGAGAAAGAGTATAAAGTAACAGATTGTTTGGCGCCTCAAGTTGTCATCATTTTATGGCATTGTGTGTGACCATTGTTAACGTATTTAGAAGTGTTGTTCAAGTTAGTAATGGAACAAGTTTGAGTGCTTTTAAAATTTAAAGGCTAAATGAACCAAGCTTGAATATAACCCCAGTTTATTTACATTCACGAATAAGCTTGTTTATTACCAACAATTAATTTGTTAAATGCTTGATATTAAACTCAATAATAACATACATATTATTAATTTAAATTATAATAGAATTTATGAAGTTCTAAAGTAGAGCACAAGAATTATAATAGAACTACGATATACAATTAAAAACCCTATGTAAGAAATTAATAAGTACAGCATAATATTGATCAAATGATAAGATCAAAATGTAAGAATATGTGTAACGCTTACCGCAAATAACACAACCCATTTCTCTCTGCAGCTAAACCAAAGTTAATAAACATGGCCTGTAATAATGAAACAAAATAAGAGACATATACAATCTATCACAAAAGTACAACATAATATTGATATTTAATACAGCAATCTCTAATACCTTGGCATGGCCAATGTGAAGATATCCATTTGGTTCGGGAGGAAAACGAGTAAAAACTTTTCCCCCAGTTATCTTCAGGTGCTTCTCCAACATTTCCTTCGGATTGTGAGCTCTCCATATTTCCCCGTTGCTAAAGAATATCTCCGTATGAACCTAAGATTTTTGCATAGGGTATATGTGTATAGCTTCTTCATAACATGAATTGATTTCTCATCATAAATGCATGAAATTAAAAGCTGGATTTCTGCCATATAGAATATATGATTGGAAACAAAAGAGAATTCCATAAAAAATAAAAGTGTCTTCACCAACTGCAGTTTAAGAAAATGGGAAATTTACATTAGCACACAATTCTTATGTATTTACATATCTCACACTTTAACTTTTAGATTTAAATACATAGCACTTTGGTGATTGAAACCCATGCATGAAAATTTTGTATTTCACTTTTAAAAAGTGGAAATAGTATTATTTTTCGTGTGATATTAAGGATTTGAGCAATATGTGTATAGATAGGAAAGTTTAGGAGTGAGATATGTAAATTCAGTGCTATTTACGTAAATATCCTTATAAAAATTCGGTAGCATGCTTGAAAATATTGTGTAGATGAAGGTGTGGATGGTGGAGGAAGTAGAAGCACGGCAGAAAGATTACTTAATGCTGACGGAACAGTCTATTATATATGAAAATATTGGACGAAAAACAAATTAATTGAGTTTGTTTTTAATCTTTAGCTGTATTCCTACACAAGTTACAAAAAAGGAGTTGGGAAAAGTGGGGGCTTAAAGGTATTGAATTCCTAGAACACTCAAAAATTAGACTTGTCAAAAATGCTAGAAATTCGTGAATAGCTCGTGTTCAACTTGCTAGATAGTTCATGTTCAATTTAATCGTAAAGCAAGCGAGCAGAACACAAATAGTACATTTGAGCTCGACTTATAAAGAGCATAACGCAAACAAACTTTTATTCGGTTGAGCCGGAATTAATTCAATTATTAAATAAATAATATTATTATAAAATTATTATATTGATTTTTTATAATGTATTTTGAAAAAAAAATATTTTATTATTTTTTCAATCATTCGAGCAGAGCCAGAGCTGAAACAAAAAAAAAAAGAATCGAGCCAAACACGAATATGATATTCATGAGCTATTTCGAACATGAGTTCATTTCATACAAAAAAAAGTTCGAACGAGGCGAACATGAACAAGCATTGGTCTTGCTCAAATTCAGCTCATTTAAACCTCCATAAAAAATACAACATAACTAATAATTTGCCTTGGAATTATGCTAAAGATTAATGTCCTCGAGAGATCAACCAAAGAAAAAAAAAGGTTGACCTTTCAATGCACTAAATTGAAATTATACAAAAAAAAAGTCATCTACAGTTACAAAAGGATTATAAAGAAGATAATCATCAATACTCCAATTTCATGGCACACAAATTATGATCCTAAACCATAAAATCCCTTAAAAACTAAGATGCCATCATAAAAACTTCATAAAAATATCAATAATCGAAAGAATACAAACCACAAATCAATAAACAAGTATCTAAACCAGTACCTTTGAGTTCTCCTCGGGTTGAGGAAATATCAAAAAAGGGTTTAACTCCTCTTCAGGCAGTGGGACAGCAGTACCAGCATTACCAGGTTGATCCTGTAAATAAAAAAAATTGTTAACATAAAAACCAATAATTACAACGTGGAAACCAACCAACAAACCTTTACAGGCTTTTCCTTCTTCTTTTTCAATGGCTTTATGTCATCATCTGCTGTCTTCTCGCCGAGTATCTCATTAAGTCTCGCATCAATTACTTCCTGTCACATAATTTGTGATGATAAAAAAATTCTAAGAAACAGTAACGGCTACTAACATTATTAAAGCATAAATAACTATTTACCTTGACAATCTTAGCATCACCCCAAGGCTGTTTCTTCCTAACTTGTCCACATAGGTTGCCAACTGGTGGAACAAATGGATAAAATTAGCATAATTGGGGAATATTGGGCTAAACTGCATAGAAAATAAATTAAACTGAAAGTCTTGTGAAAGAAGCACAGAAACCACATAAGGAAAATGGATATTTTTAATGCAAGAAAAGTGCCAAAATAGTCCCCTACCTCTTTACAGATTATTTTAGTTCTAGAGTTTATAAAAGTGTCAATTTAATCCTCAAACTTTATAAATATAGGGTGAAATCCCCAACTTAAATAGCATTGTAAACAGCCAGGGGACTATGTTGGCACTTTATTCGTTTCAATGGAATTCACACAGAAACATATAAATGGATGGAGGGCGAAAAAAATTTAAACGAAAAATTGCACCATTTATCATCAGCGTGAACTTATGTTTCTATGTTGGGGCATTTACATACATATACCACCCAATTCCTATATATTTACATATCGAACACATAAACTTTGCTTTTTTACATTTATGTCACACAAATTTTTCATATCATTGCAAAAATACCACCATTTTAACTTTTAAAAGTGAAATACACCATTTCATGCATAGGTACAGTGGCATGTCTGTAAAAATTGAAGTTTAGCTGTTAGAGATGTAAATACGTAGGAATTAAATGATATGTATGTAAATATTCCTTATGTTTTTCTATGATAGCATAAGTACTTATGCATGAATGTGTTCACACAACATTACTTAAGCATACAAATATGGATTACAATATGGCACTATTCATCTCAAAAAATGGCGAGCACGTAATAGAAAAACATTAACCATTTATACGATAACGTTGGTCCAAGATAGCATCCATATTTTCGTCCAACACTGCATTAATTGCAGATTTAACTTCTTCCAAGGAGATCTCAACCCCTGCAAATCACAGAAATTTTCCTTACTATTCACATGAATTGTAATTTAAAAATATGACATATATTAAATAAAAAATCAAGCCAATCACTCGCATCAGATAAAAAATGTACACGGGTCAAAAAAAAACTTTTGTAATTGAAATTTTTAAAAACAGTATGCAAAATGCTGTGATACTAAAAAAATAAATTATAATGTTTCATTGTAGCATAAACGGAGCATCAAACTATAACTTTAGGAATTACAACGTCCATGAAAACCACTAAACAGCTTGGTAAATATCAAGAAAGCAGTATTTAAGAAAAAATTTGCCTCAGAAGTACTCCCAGTTGCAAGTAGTAAACTGAAATTGTAGCAATTAAAGGGCAGAAATTCTGGGAATTGCTGGTTTAAATAAGCAAGGTACCTTAATGAGGAGAGGAAGTTAATTGCATAATATCTTAAAAAAAATAAAATTAAATGTTCACAATAACACGTTGAAGGAAACAGACATATGCTACATTGGCCCAACAGATTCTTCGTATATAATTTTTCAAAAAACCTGTCCGAGAAAGACAAATATACAAAAATCTGATCCCAAATTTTAAAAAGTAAATAAAAATGAAAAAGTGATGGTAGAGCTTATGTCTTTATATTCAAGCTTATAGTTCATCTGCCAACATGAAAGTTTGAGTTTGGTTCATATTCATTTCATATGATGATAATAGTCATTATCATGCAGACTAACGAGCAGTATTATCGTGCTATTTAATTTTATATCCAAATGACATTTACTGAGAAAAGTAAAATTATTGTTATCAAGGTATTTAATTTCTAACCAAATGAAACTTGTCGAAAAAATTAAACTAATGTGTAATATAATTAATCTATTTATTTTCTAATCAAATGAGTTTTATCGAGCATATAAATGAATTATTTTTTGAATTTACAAAAACAAACGAGCTTTAAAATAAACGAGCTTTAAAATAAACGAGCTTTAAAATAAACGATCTACTATATAATAACTAAAATAAGCATATAAATACATAAAATAAAAGACAACCTAAGAAATAATTTTTTATCATGTTTTATGTACTATGACTTAAAAATTTAATTTAATTTAATATAAATTGAACTTTAATTGATTTTGTTCACAAGCTTTAAAGTAAACTTTAATCAATCTTGTTTTATAAAAGATAAGTCCTTTATTAAGGAAACTATCAATAAAATAACTATTATTCATAAATAATCTAAGAAAGACACGTGATGGTCAGTTCTAATAAATCAACTAACAAAAACACAACACATCTTCATACTAAATCAGAACGGGCAAATAATTAGAAAAAAAAAGTTCTTTCCCAAAAACCAAAGTAAAAAAAAAATCAATGGAAACTGGACATTATGAGTCAACCACAGATAAGAAGGTCGTTATATACTCAAAAATAGAATCATAGACATTAACAAGACAAAAGATACCAAACTATCATAATAGATAATGCTAAAAGGCGTCACAATAATCTTCAACATTTTATAAAAGAATAAACATGTAAAATATAACTTGTAAATTCAGAGTAAATCAACTTGCAACAAACTAAACAATTACTTCGTGTTACTCAAAACTATATAGGTGCCTCCTAAAGAATGAAAGCCAAATCTACTCAAGCTTTAAAAAAAAAACGAAACGCCAGGAATCTGAGGGGGAAATAAAAAAAGGAATGCTTATATGCATACCACTTAATTCTTGTATATTTACATATCTAAAATTTAAACTTCAATTTTTACATATATATACCACCTTACATGTGCATGAAAATGTGTATTTCATATTTTAAGAGTTAAAATGATGACATTTTTTATGTGATATGAAAGATTTGGGTGGTATAAATGCAAAAAAGCAAAGTTAGATGATAAATATGCAAATACATAGGAATTGAGTGGTACCTACATAAATACCCCCCATCCAAAAAAAAGAAGAAATCTAATTCAAGCAAAGTTAAGTTCAATATAAGCCGAAGCCTAATACCAAAACTAATTTGGTGCATGCCTGATAACAAATATGGAAGTTAATCCAACACGCTTGATAAGCACCATGAAAATGAATCTTAATGCTCATATTTGTATCAGATCACATACCTACACCGCAGGCTTCTTCAAAGTCTTTCAATTGATAATTATCAGGCCCAACATTCACAAGAAATGTAAAGGCTGCATCTAGTTGGGCAGAGGATTTTATCTGCAAAAAATTTTGAAAATATATAAGAAATTGAACACTTGAATGCCCTCTAAAAACCATTTTAACTCGCTTAACATTTTTCCATGATGATCACCATTGAATGTTCTCATATACTAAGTGCTTGTTTGGGATCACTCTTTTATTTTCGCTCTTTTCTTTTATTTCAAAAACAAGTTTGTTCAGTACTTTTTTTTTGCATGTTTTTTTTGTCAAAAAAATATGTTTTGAAAAATACCCAAAACATCTAAAAATTATTTTTTTTTACTATTTTTAAAACAAATATAACAAACCAAATAGGTTTATTTCAAGTAAAAACACAAAATAAACAAAAAATGAAAGTGATCCCAAACAGTCCTAAGACACCGTTTGGGATCACCTTTGCTTTCTAATTTTTAGTTATAGTTTTATTTTATTTTGTTTTGTGTTTTATTTAAGAAACAAAAAACATGTTTAGCATGTTCGAATAAGATATAGTTCTTTCTAAAAACACTCAAAAACATAACAGTTATTTTAGGTGCCATCTTTAAAATAAATTAATTAAAACACACAAAAAACGCACTAAACAAACAAACTTTTAAAACAAATGGAAAAAATAAAAAAATGGTTCCAAACATGCCCTAACTATTACAAAAGATTACATGAGATACTATTTATTTTATAAAAAATTATGTTTTCAATGATTTTTATTTTTGTTTTTACTATGTTTTCAATGAAGTTCAATAACTCATAAATGAAGAAGAAGAAAACCTTTAATGTAACAATATATTCAAGTAAAGTTGGCCGATGTTTTAGTGCATTTGGAGGGAACTTCGTCGCAACCTATATAAGGGAAAAAAACAAAATTCGTAAACTTCTAAAGCAGCTTATATCAAATATTCAGCTTCACAACTAAACAAGCTACCGTGTACAAAAGATTTCCGACAGCCTTGCTACATCCATCAACAACACATGCCTGCAAAAGTTTTTGAGATTATAATAAAATAAGAAACTACAGAGATTGGTAAATAAAGAACAACCAATAAATGCTCTTCTTAAACGAAGCAAAAGATTTTAATTTTATATAAGGAATTAACATTCGCAACATACAATTCTTCTGTATTTACAATTCTCAAACCTAAAACTCCATATTTACATACATATCACTTTGGTGCTTTAAACCTGTACATGAAAAAGCTATATTTCACATTTTAAAAATGGAAATAGTACTATTTCTCATGTGATATTATGGTGTGAGATATGTAAATACATAAGAATTGTGTTCTATATATATAAATGCCCCATTTATTAATCCGTGCAACAAAAAATAACCAATGCAATAAACAATGATAAATGTTGATAAAGTTCGTTTTACTTTGATCCATGAATATGCAATTTATTCAGGTATAAAGCTAATATAAATTTAGAACTTTCTTTATGAATATTTAGATCATAAACTATTAGTTTGAATCAAAATATTGAAATCTAGTGCTAGTTCTAGTGAAAAAGGCGAACCGGAATAAAGTGTCAGTCTATAAAAGTGGGATCATGTATGGTTACTTTGAACAAAATTTATGTAGATAAGAGTAAAGTGCCAAAATAGTCCCCTAAATATTTACATAGGATCATTCTAGCCCCACAATTTACAAAAGTGCTAAAACGCTCCCCAAACTATTTTAATATGGGCTGAAATGGTTCCAAGGGAGGATTATTTTAGCTCCTAATAAAACAGTATGGGGACTAAATTGACTTATTAATAGACTCAGGCACTAAAACGAACCTCTACGAAGAGTTTGGTTACCATTTTAACACTTTTCTCTAAGAGAGATGTAAATAAGCAAATCTCTCCACTAACAAAAACTGAAGAAAATGTGAAAACAAAAGCCATTTACTTCAAAATAATAATAATAATAAATGAACTTGTTTTCCAAGAAACTTGTTGGTTGTTGGTGAAAATTGAATAGGGAGAGTTACAAGAGAAAAAAATAGAGAAGAAGAAGAAGAAAAAGAAATGGAGATAGAAGGATAAAAGAATGGGAAGAAGAAAAAAAAGAAATGGAGATAGAAGGATAAAAGAATGGGAAGAAGAAAAGAAAGAAGAGAGAGATAGAGAGGAAGGAAACAATAGAGAGATGTAGAGATTGACATTCAAGCAAAATGACGATACTGGAATCCCTAATATATGCCCATAACTTAAAATGTCTACACAAAAGCAATACAATTTATATGGAGAGAAATAAAATAAAGTGTCATTGCATATTATGAAGTAATTAAAACAAGTTGAAATTAAATGGAATATGTTTATAAGATCAAATTGAAAAGCATTTTATGAGAATGATTTCCCTGCATCAATCACTCGAGCCAAAAAAAAATCAGAGCATTTACATACATACCATATAATTCCAATATATTTACATATCCAACACTTAAACTTTACTTTTTAAATTTATACCTTCAGAACGTTTCATATCATATCAACAGTACCACTATTTTAACTTTTAAAAAGTATACAAATGGCATTATTTGAACATTTCAAAGTCACGGGATAAACAATATGTACCAAAATATTTTTTTTTAATTCATTTGAGATATTTCATAAATTTTAGTGTTAATTGTAAAAATTATCAAATGAACCCCAAAATTAATATAAATATCTGGAAATGCATTTTGAATTGATTGAAGTTACTTGGTGAATTAGCTAACCCATATTGATCATGGATTGACCCCATTCCCTTAATTTTTTAAAATTCAATAAATTAAGAAAATTAAAAGTTGACCTTTGACTTTAACATACACTTTGAGTTTGACTTTTCAACATGTCTATTTTCAAAACATCAAACTTCAATCTCAAACATCAACCTTCAAGTTCAAGGATTACTAGGCAACTAGGGCTATCAAAACGGCTCGTTGTTCGCGAACAGCTCGTTAAGACACTCGTGTTCGACGATCAAAAATTTGTTTGTTCTTGTTGGGCTCATTTCATATATACATACATACATACATACATATATATATACACATACATACATACATATATACATGTATACTTACATATTGGACGCGTGTTTGTGCCCTATATTTTCAGTAATAAATTTATTACTTGTCTGTTTCATGCCTTATCCGTTTCCCCGTGTTTTTGTCCATGCAACATAGGACAGTGGTTTCCTCGGGACCGGACAAAAAATAGATAGCCGGGGCATTATCGAACACACTTTTTGAGCTCAAAATATAAACAAGCCGAACACGAGCTGAGCCTGAGCTCGCTCGTGTTCGGCTCTTTTACACCCCCTATAGGCAACTTGAATGTTTGGGCATTTCAAATATTTCATATTTCATAAATTTCTTATATTTTTTTAAAATTATTTTAATGAATTTAAATATTTAAAAATCAAATTTCATTTAATTTGATTTAATTTGCTCGCAACAAAGTTTAGTCTAAAATATTGTGCACATGTTTGTGTAATGTCCTGGTCAGACTAGGTTAAATAAGTTCAATCTAGGTTAACCAATCTTTCAATATAATGTGCTTATTGGCCACATGCATTTGACATCCTACACGTGCATTTAAACATAAGTCTAAGATTAAAGAGACGTTGCACTACACCTTAGCCTCTCTGCATAATTTCGATCGAAACTTATGACTTGTAATAGATCTTGATTAACATGAATCAAACCCTACACTACACTCTCTAAAGAGATTGGTAAGCTAACCAACATTGGTGGGTTAGCCAATCGAAGCTTATAAATCTTAGGACAAGCTATAGATAGTTGACCCTATATCCTTCTAGCTCCAACTGACTTCATATGTACCATGATAGAGACTTTTCTAGAGATCAATCTTATCTATGTTATTGCACCACCTGCATTATCAGCATAAATTCACTCTAAGTTACAACATGAAATAAAATTTATTCAATAGCCTAACCAAGCTCTTCTGGATGGACTCCAATTTGAATTAGTCCTTCCCTATTGATTGAGTCTAACCTTAGAGTCGTCCCCTTTTGACTGTACTATCTACTATCCTAATCATGCCCCTTTGACTATGACACATCTTAGATTTGGCCATTCCTTTTAAACCGAGAGTACTCCCAACATCGTCATGCTTTCTTGTCATTACTATCATGATCTAGCCATACTCTTTTGGCTATAGGACTTTATCTATTTTGGTCATACATCCTTTGGCCAAGCCATTCTCTAATTTGAACATGCTCATTTGATCAGACTTTTCATTGTTTTAGCCGAGCTTTTTTGGATAAGTCATATCCCTAGGAAGGTCATACACTTTTGACCTTACTATTCTTAACTTGGTGCTTTTGCTAATATAGTGCTTTTTTGGACAAGTCATATTCCTAGGAAAGTCATACAGTTTTGACCTTACTATTCTTAGTGCTTTTTTGGATAAGTATTATTCCTAGGAAGGTCATATACTTTTGACCTTACTATTCTTAACTTAGTGCTTTTGCTAATATAGCGTTTTTAGGAATTAGTCATATACAATAACAATCCGTTATCTTTTTGAATGTTCAAAACATAAAAATTTCAGATGTTGAAGGCCCATAGACACATACAAATGCTTAAAATATTAACCTTGGTGATTAATGGTACCAGTTATCTCTCCTTTTATTGTTGCATTTGCATGCACATGAAAATAGTCAATGCATATTAAATAGGTAAGCCAACCCGTTTAGTTTTAGAATATGGACTGTGACTATGACAGGTTAGTTATCATTATTGGGTAACAGTTTATTTAATAGTGAGAATCATCCTAGCATAATATGACCTTCTATTGTTGTTCAAGCATTAAAAATAACCTAGGTCATGTCAACTTAATTAATTTTAAAAAATAATTCAACTATTATAGGCCACCTATAAAGCAAACAATTTTAAAATCTTTTAGATCCTATTTTTATAAAAATTATATAAATATTTATTTATTCTCAAGCCTAATTCAACCTCATCAAAATCTCTTTTCAAAATTAAGTTTAAAAATCCAATATTATGGTTGCAAAGCTTAGTTTAATTGGATTCTTTGAGGCAAGTTAGTTTGGTAGCCCACTATAGTCATATAAGTAAGCTTGTACAACACTGAGATTTTTGCACACACTAGTGTTGTGATACGTCAATAATACTTTAGCCGTTTAGCAATCAGACTGAGCTATAGGTTCTGTTTGGGGCAACTGTAGGTTATCCAGCTTATTCAGATAGTTTATCCTGATAAGCTGTTGATCAACAGCTGATCTGGATAAGTCATCTAGTTGTTTGGTTTGAGCATTTAGAAAGCAGCTGATTTGCAGTTATTTGTGGATAAATGATCATTCAACCCCTAAACTGAATAAGTTGTTAAGTCGTTTGGTTCTTGCGGTTTGAAAACAACTGATTTGCATATATGGAAAGGGAGAACCTCTCCATATATAAGAAAAAAAATTCTTAATTCTTATCAGAGTGGCAAAGAATATCATTTCTTACAATTATAGGAGGTACAAAATAAAAATCAGAACTCAAGAAAATCTCATTTTGCAAGATAGATAATATTATCAGCAGTTTAGCAATTATCATTATCATTCTATCAAAATTTACAAGGAGTTATTCATTTTAAGAGCTCATTACGTATAAGAAAAAGGAGAAACAAAAGCTCAGATCCTTCTTTGAACCCTCAAACCCAAAAGCCATCCAAGCTGCTCTCTCGCCTTAACATACATATGAGACGTTTACATACATTCCACACAATTCTATGGATGGATTGATGCATATATAGAGAGGGAGAGAGAAAGATTGACATACATACCACTCAATTCATATGTCTTTACACATCTAACACCTAATATTCAATCTATATTTCATTAAAAAAATGAAATATTAGTATTTTTTTTATGTGAAAAATTCAGCTAGTAAAGCAACGGAATTTAGCACCAAAATCATAATGAGACAACCTCACACGCTCCAGCTTCTCTAAGTATGATTTAGCACCAAAATCAT